GAAAAAACAAAAATTATAAACTCAATTGTTGTTGTCCATTGTGTATTAGAATTAAAAAAAAAAAATCCTTTTTAAAAGGATATTTTTTTGCTACACAATTTAATTTGAGCACAAGGGCGTATTCGAAAAAAAAATAAGAAAAAAATTTTAATGAAAAAAACACTAAATGAATTTTTAATTTACACAAAAAAAATGTTTTTTTTTTTTTTTTTTTCATTTTTGCACCTTTTTAGCAATTTAAGAATTCATAGAAAAAAATATCGTTTTAGTTTTCATTTTTCATTAAGCATAAACCCTTAACTATTCAAACACAAGTAAAACTGGTTTTTATGCTAAGATTTCTTTGTTTTGCATTTCAGAAAAATGCTTGGAATGCGTGTATGGAAAAGGGCACATCTTCTTAGCATATAAAAGTAGCCTAACTCAAAAATATTTACTTTACAAAAAAAATATCAAAAAACAATTCGCAGTACAAAATTATATAAATGCATTTATAAAAAAATCTGATGTGGTCAGCACATAACCGACCGCAATTTATATTATCTAGATTAGTAAAAGTATTCCAGAAGATTATGAAAATGCATTTTAAATACTTCTCTACAATTTTAAGAACACTAATAAGCTTTTAATTAACATACCTAGAAAAATGTAAATTTTGCTCTTAGTAGAGTTTCATTTTGTGCTGTCCGAATTATAAGAAAAGTTCGTATTAAAGTAATTTCTATTAACAACCAGATCTCAAATATTAAATTTCCAGAAATTCCATCAATTCGTTCCATAGATATGATAAAAAATGTAAAATCGGCTCCAGATCAGTTTCCGAACCCTTGACCTTTCTAAAAAAAATGTAAAGATTCATTGTTTCAATACCTCGAATTTAAATATTAAATTTCAATAAAATCGATTGATTATTTTTCGTTACATACTCAGAAATTTATATTTAGCAACTAGACGTTACTGTAATAAACGTCTAGTTGCTGACGCCTGATTTCTTCCAAAAGTTAGGAGGTTTTGCCGACGGACAAATGAAGCTTACATATGAAATTTCAAGCAAATCATTTGAATATCTTTTTCAAAATGATCAAAAATGTAAAACAGGCCCGTTAAAAAGTTCAGTTCCCGAGCTCTGGAATATCCCAAAAATTGATCAATCCGTGCCATAGTCGAAATAAACTTACATATAAAATTTTATCAAAATCAGTTCAGCAGAACTTGAAACGCACATAAGACCGACAGGTTGCTAAAAATAGTTTACTTACATTTCCCTACTATTGAGAAGTGTGTTCCCCCTGAAAAGTCGATATGCAAAATTTGTTGCCATCACATAACCTACCTTATTGTATACACAATGCGGTCGGTAAAAAACTATGTCCACATTTATAATAAAATATTCAAATTTTAAAGAATTATTGCTATTGTTTTAAATTTTTTGAAAAATTTTTATGAAAAATAAAGTTGTTTAAGAGTACTGTGAACAAAATAAGCCCACCAGCATTTGGTTTATCCTTTAAAAAATATGTTTACTAAATAATCATCTACACTGGAAAAAAACGCATATCTAAAATAGCTACAAACCATTTCGAGGATCATATTTGTGTTTTGTACATAAAATATTTGACAACTCATAATATTTTTGCTCAAAATGGAAACAATTTTAATTTTTATATGATATATGTAAGCATATTTCAATGCTTCAACGGGCATTATAGTCAAACGGGCTATAATTATTTCAATTATATAGATAAAATAAAACTAAAAGGGATACAATGTAAGTATAGCTATTTCGTAGATAATCCAATTTTGATATGCGAATGTTGTAGTAAAGGAATGTTGTAGGGTAGCTCTTTTGGAAATAGCTCTTTCTTGTTTTTCAAAATTAAATGTAGTTGAATAAAAAATTTTTTGATAGACACAAGTTTATCCGTATTTAAATAACAACATTACCAAATGAGAAAGAACTGATTTGTATTTTTGTTATAAATATTTCTCAATTTCTCGAAAAATATTTTGAATTTGACAAAAAATATATACGAAATTATTAAAACTTATTCAGAAATTTGTTTTCGGCTGAAAAGGAGAACTAATTTAAAAACAGTTTATAAATAAAAAAGCTGTTTTGAATTAAGTATATTCTAAATAAAAATAGAGGGGTAGGAAATAAATTTGTATGAAAATTACCTATAAAGTGTGGTTGTCGTCATTTCGGATATAATTTGTATGCCTGTTTATTTTTAACACAGCACCCATTAACAGCTTTATTTTTGTATGTACGCAGAAAAAAGTTTGAAAAAAAAATAAAACCACACTTATATGATAGAAATTTTTCTTCAAAAGTTGTTTATTTAAAAATTTTAAAAATATGTAGGTTTTCTCGTTATAAAATCTTGCGTTTCTTAAAAATATTAATTGCTTTCATAATTCAAAAATAATTGAAAATTATAATCACTCATATCCTGGTAGTCACTTCACTTGACTTGATGGTTTGTTATTTAAAAATTTCGATTTTTTAAGAATAAAATCAATTTCGAAATTTGAAATTCTACACTTAAACCAAAATGCTTTTCAATCATGTCACGTCACTTCAAATGATATAGTTTTTGCGAAGGACTTCGATACTGTGTAGCATAACGCAATGATCTGTAAAATTTTGAAATATGGGTTGCCTTTACATGCCTTAACATTTCACAAAAAAAAATCTTTTGTATAACTAAGACTCAATTTCTGTGAAGCAACCTAACACACATAAATTTTTTACCGAAATAAATAAGATTTAATATTTTATTTTTTTAAAATACTCATAAAATCTTTTATATTATGATTTTTTCGAAAATAAAAGTGTAAGGGTTTTAGTTTTCGTTTATTTTTGTAAAGATGTTATAATGTTAAGTGTAGCTTTCAAAAAGTGTGATGTAGGCCGTTTTGGTTTTTATCAAAATTAAAAAAATCAAAATCAAAATGTGCGATACGCCACGTTTCCAATAAAATATTTGAAGAATTGAAAGAAAAATTATTCAATTTTTGAAATAAGCAAACAATTTTATAAAAAAATTATGAAAATGCGTTTTAAACATTTCTTTACAATTTTAAGGACACTAATGAACTTTTAGTTAACACACCTATAAAAATATAAATTTGGCTCTTAGTAGGATTTCACTTTGTGTTACCGAATTCAATGAAAATTTCACCAATTGTTTTCGGTAAGAACTGGAACTCAAATATAAAATTTCAAAAAAATTCCACCATATAATAAAATTTCATCAAAATCGGCTCACCCGATCTTGAGATATACACAGACAGACAGGCTAATAGACCGACATCTTTCTAAAAATAGTTTATTTTCGCTTCCCTACTATCGAGAAATGCGTTGTCATCACATAACCTCCCTTATAGTATGCAATTCAGTCAGTAAATAGAATACATATATTCGAACACAAGAGTTTGAAAACCCCCAATACTTTTAGAGCATAGAAACTATAGCAACTAAATTTAACACGTTCATTTCAAGCACACATTGTTTATTAATATTTGGTAATGATTCCGACCAAATTAATTAATTGCTTTTTTACACCAAAAATTTTATTGTGAGCTAAAATGGTTTAAGATACAAAATGTAGGTTTTACAAAAAAGCCGCTTAACTTTTACAAAAAAAAAAATATTTTTAATTAATTTTTATTACGGCAAAAAGGAACCTAAGTCACACTGTGTATTATAAAAATTTTGTTTTATAATACACAATGTCTAAGCAACAACATATGGGTTATCTCACTTTTACACTGGAAATAAATAAATTTTGGGTTTTGGTAAACAAAAAATAACGGAATATAAGAAATATTTGATTTTTTTTTGATAAAATTAAATTTGAGACCAAATTTATATACATTTTAAACAAAAAAGCAAAAATATTGGAAGTGATGGCTAGGCCACTTTGCTTCTGAGCCCCTCATTTGTAAAAGCTAAAGTTTAGCGGCATCTGTTTGATTTTATATACATACTCGTACGTTATTTATAATTTTTTAATAAGATTTTTTTAAATTTTAATAATTATAAATTGGGATTGTTTTTATTCCATCTCTCTGGACCATATAAAAGGTATTTAAGAAGAAATTCATTTCTTAAATTTAAAAGAGCTTTGAATGGAAGTCAATTGTGTTAAAAATTTATAGAAATAAAAATAAAATTATAAGGCCCTTATTATGATCACCGATATAAATTTTTGGTATTTATAATTATTAGCGAATTCACCTAAATTTTACGCGAATGACCTGTCAAATCTGTCGAATTAAAATTCTGTGTGACAAGCTTGGCGAATGAAACTAAAATAATACATGAGTGTTTTTTTTTTATTGAATATTATAGCATTTATAGTGATATAATGGAAAAAATCTAAACTACTCGTATCTGTAAAGTAATTTCATAAAATTCTACAAATTATTGTAAAAAACAATTAATTTAAGCGGGAAAAAATAAACCAAAAAAACAATTGGAGCATTTACTTAAATTAATGGAGAATAACCCAGATATTGCAAAAGGGATAGGAAAATTCAATTGTTTTTGCTTTCAAAAGCACATATTCAAATTTTGAATATGTGTGGTTGTTAACCTTATTATTTCGAGTAGGTTTTTCGATGTCTTGCGGTAGCAACATTTTGGATCTAGCGAATGAAAACCGATCATAATTTAAAATGTCATTCGATTCGCCTAGTCCATTCGACTCATACAAGTAAGTTTATTTTCTATAACTTAAAAGATGCAGTATAATTGCTTAAAATCCAGAAAATAAAACTTAGAAATTGAATTATGTGTATACTAAGAACGTGTATTTCACGTAAATTTTGAAATCAGGGATTTTATTTTTATGAAAAATTATTTTATGAAAGTTTAATTCAACTATAAATTTTTACTAATTTTTATTAATTAAATTGATTATCATAAAAGAACATTGTTGTGGACTTTGTTTGTTTTTTGAAATTTTTGTTTTTTTTTTTTTTGTTAAACTTACCATTTTTGTATTAAAAAATTATTTTCCAATATCGACATTTGTGTTTTTATTGTATTTGCAGCTGAATTTACGATTCGAATTATTAATGATTTTAATAATATAAATTTTAAGACTGTTTCCACAGACCATGCTCCTAATTTTATGCAATCTTTGCTCATGTGTAATTTTTATTTATTTTCTTCTTCTCAATTGTTATTCATTCTTTTTTTAATATCCTTTTTTAAAGGATTTTTGTTATCATTCATTTTTTTGTGATTTTTTTTTTTATATTATAATTTTTTTTTTCATTTTTAATTAATTTAATTTAATTATATTCAAAATAAATTTTTTATAGTAAATTTCATTTTTTTTTTGTTAATTTTTATTTTTACTTTTATATATATATACTATGTGTGTATAAATAAATATATTGGCGCTGTTGTAATTAATTTTTTTTTTAATTCGAGACCACCTTAATTTTGTTAATTTTTTCTTATTTTATTCTATATATATATATATATATGTAATTTAATAATTTATAAGAAATACACATACATTTATAATAATTATCTAAATGTTATATAATATTTTAGATTCAAATAATAATAGTTTACTATTATTTAATTATTCTGAAAAGAAAATACAAAAAAAAAATTCAAATTTAAAAAATATTTGTTAAGTTTCTAATAATTTGTTTTTATCATTTTAATAAATTCAAAGTTAATATTATTAAAAAAATATTTCTTTTGTTTCCTTGTTTTAAAAATTTCTACATTTTTTTTATTTTTCGATTTGATTTTTCCCGAATTATTTTCAATTAAAATTGTTTTAAATTTTTGTAATTTTAAGTCTTAATTATTTTATATTTAATATGTCTATTTTATATTAGATAAGCAAGTGAAAAAGTATTTGTTATGAGCATTCCTAAATGAATTTTTGGGTTTTAATTTAAGAAAATTTCATTATTTCTTTTAATACAAGACGTTATTTATTTTTTGTTAATTTAAATATAGTATAATTTTTAAAATATTTAATTATATTACTGTGTGCATTTTATATACTAACTATTCATATATTGTATATGGTAACATTTTGTATATAAATATATTAAAACTTAAAAATTAAATTTATATATAGGCATACAATTATTTCCACATAAGGTTTAGTTAAAGATACGCGCGTGATTGTTTCTTAATTTTTTTTTTAATCACTTATTTTATAAAGTCAAATACGATTTTTGATTTGCAAAATTTTAAAATCTATATATAATATTGGTATTAAATAATAAATATATAGGATCAATAACATTTGGATTTCTTTTTTTTTTGTTTTAACAATACGAAAATATCATAGAAGTATGTATCATAAATAAATTGTAAATTTAAAATAAAGCGGTTGTCGTAATTTATATAATATAAACACATATACAGGGTGGTCCAAAATATCCACATTTATTGTACATGGTTTTTTAAAAATCATATATTTCTCTTAAGCCAAAGCGAGAAAATAATTTGAAAGTTTTCATTTATTTAGTTCTAGAATAGTTCTAGCTTGCAATACGTTCGAAAATTTACGCTATACATACACTGAAAATATAGATCGTTTGGAAATTACTAACTGCAATAAAATGCGTTCGAAAATTACTCGCTTTAATAAAATGCGTTCAGAAATTCAATCTGCAATAAAGATATGTTAGAAGCGCAGATCTCTAATATAAATTTTGTCGCTGCCTCATGAAATTTCTTTGTTTTTTTTTTTTAATTTATAATTCAAAAAAAAAAATTTTAATTTCAAAATGGCCTTTAACTCGTTCCTTTGATTACGTCATCCATCTGTTCTGCAGTTGCATGAAGAAATTTCCATTAAGATAAATTAGTAGTGTAATAGGCACATTCTTATTGATTCCGCAACTATGATGTTGTATTAGTAAAATTCATAATAGGCAGATTAGATATTGTAGGGTTATTAAACTAAGTTTTCTTTAAGTTTTCAAATCTTGTTAAAATTTCCTTATTTTGTAGTGAATTGAAAGGGAAAAAGTATAGGGACATAATTTCAAAAACAATGTCATTTCTGTTATTTTCGAACAACTGATTATTTAGAAGTTTCAGAATTTTTATACTTCGTAAACATAAAAAAAAACTTAGCTAAAGTGTTTGTATACTGTTTAACGCTGAAACTTAGAAATTTTAGTTCTAATTTAAAAATTTCAGTGAAGCGTGCATAAACGGAAACCTCCTTTGATTTAAACAAGTTAAGTAAGTACTTATATAATATAATATTTTTTAATTTATTCAACTGAATGATGGTGTATAAATTTGCATTCTAAATATATGTGTGATATTTGTGGAGCTTTTCAAGATTTTTTCTATAATACGCCGCTTGAGTATATTTTGATATATTTTGTTTGTGATCATCTTCGGCAACAAAAATTTTGGAACAAAATCTGTAGAGCCACACAACCATATCCTTTGAAAAGTTTTTGTTTTCTTCCATCCCGGAATATATTTCGAAATCTATAGGCTCTTAAAAGATGAATTTTCTATAATGATATTTTGCAGAAAATCTCAATTTTGACAGAGAAGGGCATGGGTAAGGGCACCAAAATCTGTATTCTCGTCAATTATCACCCACTATACAAGTTTAATAAAATTTATTTCAATTTGTTTAAAGGTAATAGAAAGTTTAACAATTGAAAATTTGATTGAAACGATACTCCACATAATTATGACTTATACATCGTTCTCTCTAATATAATAATGTTTTCTAACTGCATACTTGTAGGATGCAAAATTATATTATTTATGAATTATATAAAATTACATTAATTATAGGTTTAATTAAGTGGTATATATATAAGGAATCGTTTTTATATAAATATGTAATTGAATTTTTAGAATTTTTTTTGAAAGTAATTTGATTTTTGTTTTAATAGAAATTTGAATGATAGCTTTAAACTATCAGGAGAATAATATTGAAAATTGTGAAACAAAGGAGACAGAATATAAGAAAATATAATTGAGTTTTTCTACCATGAAATATTTATACAGCCTAAATTTATTAAATTTGCTAGTAAAATTTATTTTTAACTATAATACGATGAAACACCTGTATTCAAATATTTAATATTGTATAGTGATTAGGCGGTAATTTGCTAGCTTGTCTGAAATTTTAACAGTATTTTTAGGCATTAATTTGGGGCATTTTGAAATTAAAAAAAAAATTTTACCGTTTTCGATACAAATTAAATACCATTTTTAGGACAAAATTTTTTTGAATAATGAACTTGTATTTTGAATCGATAACGCCATATCGAACCTCTGTATGTGTATTCCAAGAGTAAGTGACTATACTCATATGCACACTCTTATATTTAAATTATTATGACCACATTCAAGAGTAATAATAAAAAAATTATTATTAAGAGTAAATACATAAAATGAATAATTTTTTGTTCATTAATAAGTGCAAGTTGATTAATTTAAATATATTATGGTCACGTATGATAAAAGAAGCCAGGAAACCCACGATTTAAAAAGAAAAATAAAAAAATTTCAATATTTATTATCACACAGTTATTAGTTACTACCACTTTAATTTGGAATAATTTTGTGTTTAACGAGATCTTCTATATATCTTATAAAAATCAGACTATATCATGATACTTCTTACTTATATAAATTAATTTTGTATATAAGTAGTAACATATGTATAAGTGTATGTTATAATTTATTATTACTCGTATAATTTTCAATAACAATTTTTTTTTTCGGTGTATGTAGTCATAAAACGTGCACAGAAAATTAAAAAAAAAAATTAATTTGAAAATTTTTATTTTGCATATTAAATTTTCTTATATAATAAATTTTCTTTATATAATATCTTTTTTTATATTTAATATTAATTATTAAATATATAAGTGAAATTTTTATATTAGTACTTATATAATAAGTATAATATATTGGGTTCCATTGAATACTCTGCTCAATAAGTATAACATTCTCATAATTAAACAAGTCTACACACGGTCTTTTTTTTTCAATAACAAAATCGCATTCTGTATACTCTTAACTTGATAATTTTTTAATACTAGCTCTTAATTTTAGAGAGTAAGTATACTTTTATAGCTTTGCATCTGTGAACACCGAATTTTCTAGATCATAGTCTGTCTCTTGCTCTCATAATGTATTCTTTTTGGCATTGTGTCATCTGTTATTCTCACGAAATGCCCCTCCCATTTTAACTTTTGTTATTTTATTAATTTTTCAAACTTTTCGTTCGTTCCTCTATTAAATTCATGAGTTTCGTCTATTTTGGGGCCGAATATTTTTTTTTTGTATATTTTTTTCGAATAATTTTAAGCTTCTTTTCATCGTTTTTGGTCATCGTCCAGGATTCACATAATAAGGCTATAGATTAGCACACCTTAGAATTAAATAGATTTTTTGTGGGCATAAAAACATTTTTTAGCTGCTTGTAAACGATCTCTAATTGTTAAATACATGTCGTTTTTGTTATTAAGCCACCTAATATTTAAAACAGCTTACCCCTTCAAAATTGTAATTATTTATTGTGATGTTCTGAGGGGATCTTGTGGTTTCGAAGCGCATCATTCTCATATATTTTGTCTTTGATTCATTAATTTTTAGATCAACCGCAGCAATTTCTCTTTCTAGTGCCGAAAAAAATTCTTTTATTTCGTCAACTAATGTTCCCATGATTGCAATGTAATCCACGTACGCACTGATTATTAATGTTATTATAAATATGTGTCCTCCTTTCTCTAGTTTTTTAATAGCACTGTGAAGCACCAAATTAAATATTTTTATTGATATCGCCTTGCCTCACTTCCGTTTTTATTTCGAATTCGTCAGTTAATTTGGTCTGTAGTGCTACTTTACATTTGGTTCGTCTGAGTGTTAACATGATTAAGTTTACAAGTTTTGTCGATATTCCCAAGTTTTGGAGGACAGATTCTCATAGAGTCAAATGCCTGTTGACCATTAAGTCAACCATTAGTAAATATAAATTTCTCTTGTATTCGTAGCACTTTTCCATAGTTTGTTTGAATAAGGATATTTGATCAATAGTGGATTGATTCCGTCTAAATCCACTTTGGTAATCTCCTAATATGTCTTCAGCAACTTAAAGTCTGCTATTAATGATATTGGAAAGAATCTTACAGGCTGTATTCAGCAATTTAATATATCTGTAGTTTACACAGTCGAGTTTATTGCTTTTTTTATGTATCGGCACTATTATTCCCTGTTCCCATTTTTCAGGTATGTTGTCGGTATCCCAAATCCTATATTTTAGATTATATTATATTCTAGATATTTAATAAATTTCCGGAGGCGTTGCATAAAATATTTTAATTATTTTGTATATATATTGGGCACCCTTTAAAGAAAATGAATTGAAACTCATATTTCATTATTCAGCCCGTATTACATT